GTCATTTGTCGCCTATTTCAATTTACAAATCTTAAATTGAATGAAAAAAATACAATCATTGTTTTGTTTTTTTTTTCTTTTCCTATATCTTTTATTTCTTATTCCATCTTTTCATTTTTAGATAACAAAAATTTTCCAATATCATTCAATATATTAAAGAAATTATAAATTTAAAAAAACAAAAAAAAAAGGATAACTAACAAATTAATTAATTCTTCATAAATGTTTAATCACATAATACTATAATGATTATAGTTATGATAAACAATCATGATAAGCATAAGTAACAATTAATATGATAATTGTAATAACAATGATAGTGGAAATATTTGGTAATTTCATTAGCTATTGAATTTTTCGGCAAACATCAAATGATTGAAAAGGATTTTAAAACTTCCGGTTTGATAATATACTATTCGAATTTTTTGTGAAAATGCTTAACAATGAATTATTATAATTTCTTCGTCTTTTTTTTTCTCTTTGCTTTTTATCAGTCTTTTCTCTTTTCAATTTTTTCAATATGTTGTTTTAATTTTTATCGATTAGTTTAAATTGAACATTTCAAGTGGAATATTCGTCATTTAAATGCAGCACATTAACATTTAACATACATATTTCACTCTTATTCTTTATACAAAAAAAAAAAAGGAAAGAATTGAAATTCCAACAATTTAATTTAAAAATGTAATATTAATATATGCGTTTCACTTTTATTCTTTAAAAAAAAAAAAAGAAGATTAAAATTCCAATAGTTAATTTCCTTTTAATTTTTAAAAGTTGAAATTCCAGTAGTTAATTTTTTTAAATTTTTTAAATTTCCAATAATTAAATTTAAAAATATACATAATGTAAATGACAAAATTATTATTTGAAGAATGGAAGAGAAAGAAAAAAGAGATAAAAATTGAAAAATGTCTAGGATGTTTGAATGAATAAGAGGAAAGAGGAAAGAGGAAAGATTAAATAAGGTAGAACAAGAATGAAACATGTCAATTGATAGGAGGAATGATAAGTTTAAAGTGGGAAAAAGAGATGAAAATGAAGAAGGAAGGGAAGATGATTAAATTTCAAAGATAGTATAACCATTACTAGAACAATTCTTTCTTTAATGTTTCTTCTTTTTTTTTTGCAAAATAATTTTATCATTGGAAATTAATAATCGAAATGATTGTAAACATTAAATTGAAAAGATTTAATGATAATAAGAAATGGTTAGAAATTGATTTTCCATTAATTCCGTATATTTCATTTTTTTTCTTTTTTTTTTTTGATAACGAATATTGTTGATGCATTGTGATATGTAATGATGGAAATTATTTGTACAATAATAAGTATAATAATTAAAATGATAATTAACTATAATAATTAATTGATATTTGTTCCAAAATTTATAAATTATAAATATAATAGTAGTAATTTAATTAATGATTGATTTATGATATGAATAAACGATAATGAATATAAATGATGATATCTTTTTTGATCATAGTTCAAATTAAATTTTAAATTCATTTAAATAATTTCAATCTTTTCAAATGCTTGTTTTTTTTAAATTATATTTTTAATGCTTCATTTTTTTTTCTCCCTCTTTCTTCCTCTCTTTCTCTCTCTTTTGTATTATAGCGAAATTTACAATTCAATTTTCTTCTTTAAATGAAATATATTCTTAATTATGCAGCTAATGACAGTAATTGATTGTAAATGATGACATTTTTTTTTTTTTTTTCATTTTCAAGAAATGATTGCAATTTTTTTTTCTTTTTGCTGCAAATTTATTAGAAATGAAATTGTCCAACTTCAATTTTGCATATATTTCGATAATTTTTGCTATTTTATAACGATCGTTTTTTTTTTTAAAGTCAACAATTAAAATAACATTTCACATCCCATAAAATATGTGTTTTATTATTGCGTGCTATTTAGGATGAATCAACAAATGTTTTTGAGCTTTTTTTTTTCTCATCAAAATCATTTCATCGTTTCAAAATTTTTTTTTTTAGCATTTTAGCAAATTTTAGCTAAATGGGAAAAAGAAAGGGAAAAAAAATCGTTAATTATTTTTAATTTTTAATGATAGTAATGAAAAAAAAAAACGATTAGCAAATTGCGATAAAATTATGTCATTGGCAAAATTTGCAATGTAAAAATTTCAATTTTACAGCAAAAATTATAGGAAAAAGGGAAAAGTAAATTAAATTAGTTAGTTTTTGATAAGTTTTTAAAAAAAAAATCATCAGCATTTTCGTTTCTTCTTTTTTTTTTTTTGATAAAAATTTTTTTTCTGGTCACTATTTTTTGGTAAATGTTATCATAGTTTGAAAGAAAAAAAAATATTTTAATTAAAGAAATTATTTTTAGTTTAATTCAACCTTTTGAAAGATAACACTCATCAATTTTCTTGTCATGCATATCATTCTATCATTTTTTTTATCCAAATATTTTATCA